TTAATTGTTTAAGTAAACGAGTACGAAATAAAAAATCATCATGATACCATGTTTCATGTTTATTAGCCCATATACGTTCGGTTTGATATTTTTGACGTTGATGTGAATTATATGTACGTCTTAAGTCATGATCATATTTAGCTATATCGATTGGTAATTGCAAATCATGACGACGATTCATTGATAAAATTTCCGACCATTTTTTTTCACTACCTTTTGTAGTTTTTACAACTGATGCTGTTTTTGTTACTGTGTTTATTGCTGTTTCCATTCTACTTATGCTAGTAAAAATTGTTTGTCGAACAAAAAAAAAAAAGAAGTCACAAATTGAGTTTTTTTTTGGATGAATTTTAAATGGAATTATTTGTTGCTATTTGATTCCATTATGATTTTTTAGATTTATAATAAACTATGTTTGACGCAGATGGTAAAAGAAAAATTTATTGAATCGAAGCATTGCAGTTTGTTCTTCTTACTCTTTTTATGTTTTGGTTTAATTAGATATTCCACCTTTGGAAGATATTCCAATAAATACAACAGCAACAAAACAAGTATCAACTCCGGTTGTGAAACATGTCGAAACACAATCGAAAGGTATTTTATGATGAAAATAATTTTTTTTTTTGTTTTAAAATGTTTTATTGTTATAGAAAAAACTGTACCAGAGAAAAGTTTTGCTGGTATGAAAAAAGGCTTTTTAAATAGTAGTTCAACATCAAAATCAACATCAAAATCGAATGAATTAATTGAAATATCATCAAAAAAATCTGAACAAACAAAAGATTTTCGTATATTTGATGAAGTTCAACAAGTTATTAAAGAAGAACAACAATCAAAAAGTTTGAAATCGTTTTCTTTTTTGCTTTCTATTTTATTTATAATCAAACAATAAAATAAATTCTAGATAGTTGGTTAACAAATGATCTTTTAAAACAAATTGAAGATGATGAATCATTATCTCAATATTTTTCTAATCCATATTTTATGGAAGCTATTACTTTATTTCAACATAAACCTCAAGAAGCACTTGCAAAATATGGACATAATGCTGAAGTTATGAAATTTTTTGATCGAATGGCTAAAATACTTGGTAAAACAACTATTCTTAAAATAGTAATAATAATAATAATAAAATCTATCATATTTATTTTCTTTCTTAATTAGGTACTCATTTTACTTCAATAGTAGATAAAGAAGAAAAACAAAAAAAAACAAATGTTGATCCAGAAGTTAATAAACTTTTACAAGATGAACAAGTTCAACAATTATTACTTGATCCAGATGTTGTTCAACTGATGAAAATGTTACGTGAAGAACCTGATAAAGCACAACGGTATGAAGTATATTTATTTTTTAAATAGAAAATTATGTTTTTTTTTTCTGCTCATATAGGATGATGCGTACGGCTGATATATCAATGCGTATTAAAATTCAACGACTCGTTGATTTAGGCTTGCTTAGTGTTGCTTAAAAAGAAAAAAAACGAAATAAAAATCTTGTTTTGTTTTTTTCTTATTGTTTCGATGTCATTCAAAATATATTTCATGTTTTCTTATGTTATGTTCGAATAAAATAAAAATATTTATCATTATAATGATACAAATCATTTAGTTCGATTCAAGAATAAATACAATTTTTATTTCAGTGAATTTTAATTCGAAATTCTTTGATTTTATCAATCATAATTTTGAATTTGTGAAATTGATCTATTTGTTGAATATTCAAATTATAATATTTATCTGTAGTTTAGTTGTGAAATCTAAGTACAGATATTGATATCCTTAGAAGTCAAATATAGAATGGTTTTATTTTCAATATTGATGCATTAATTTTTTGAATATATAAATTTTAAATATGCATCATTTTCAAGCAAAACATTTGAGTATCAATGTATGAAAGCTATGATGTCATTATTAATTAATTTGGAAATATTATCCATGACGAGGCAACGTTTCTAAGTGTCAAATTTTTTTTTTGAGTCTAGACTATGTACATCATGTAGGATTTAATGAATCATGAATATCTTGAAAAGAGTTCGGGCTAATAATTTAATACTATCGATATATTGTATTTTCATCGTATTTTTTAGCAGAATGTCATGGTATTCCTCAGGAACATCAAGAAAACTGAATTTCGAATTTCAACCGGAAGCTTTGCACACAGGCAGATCTTAATGAGAATAGTTCATTGTGAAAGTTTCAGATTTTTTTGATTGTGCAGCTTCTGAAATAAGAATATCGGAACTTACCGTTGATATAAGCGACATGAAAAACATGCTCTTATCATAGTCGTATCTTAGGATAGAAGCAATGAAAAGATCTGAAATTTTTATAATAAACTACTTGCATTCTTCGTCATTATCAATTCAAATATCTTAATACAATTGATATTTGATTGATGTTTTTGGAGGGAGGGGAATCAATGTATAGCCAGTTATACGTTTTTACAAATATTTATTACGTTTCTTCATCAATACATATCGTATCTCATTACGTGCTATATTTTAATGTTGACTTAAATATTAAGATTGTATATAATCTGTATCTAATTTTACTTTTCTTTTTGCCTCAAGCCTTTTCCTCCACCGTTTATCACGCAGTTGTTTCTTATGCATAATTATATAAGCAATGAAGGAGAAAAAAATACAAAGCCTTATAATTCAAAGATTTGCCTTGACGTCGTTGAAAAGACATCATTTTCTTCTTTATACTGCTGCACACATCTCTTAGCATGTGTTAACTCACTTGCATCTCAATTCATGCACGCTATTTTTCAAGCATATAATCTTATAAAATAAGACGATTAGAAGTCGATTCTTTCTTTCGGAATAGAGAAAAAAAAGACTAAATATTGATATGTATTTACCTTACGATTAAATTGTTTATTTGATTATGTTGTTGATTATAATATTTATTCAAGAAGTTCGATTGAAAATCATCTATTTCTTCTACACTATTAATAATATCTTACTTAAAATTTTCATCCTGTTTCAAAATTAATTTTACCGAGAAAAATACTTAAGTGTTTCCGTTATGTTTTGAACAGCTGATAGGATTTGTTCATTGTCAATAGAGAAATGTTCACCGTTTATATTCATAAGAAAAACAATGAATAAGATTGTTTTGAAGTATTAGTTTTGACATGACCATAAGCCTTTGATCTTTGGCGAGTTACAAAAAAGAACCAACAATATTTAATAAATAATTTACGTCATAGTTTCAGTTGCCTATGAATAAAACTTTCTGGTTACATTAATTAATAAAAACAGAGATCTATGGTAGAAATTTAAGATCAAGTGACGATTTTCTGATGCATTAATTGAAAATATTAAATAGTATTTCTTTATGATCAGAAAGATAAATTTATTGTTTTATCAAAACTCATTGAAATCAGTGATTGTACATGTACATATCAAATGCAGGGTTGGAACCGGTCCGGCAAACCGGTACCGGTCCGGCCGGACCGGTACCGGGCCGGTAAAGACCGGAATTTTACCGGTTGAAAGTTTTCAGAAATCTTCTTTGTTAACCCTGTTTTTGACCATAAAAACTAAGGTATCACATGTTTTTTCTGTCAGAATACGTGAAAAAGTACTCAAAATATATGTTATATTAATCGTTTTTTCTGAGGTTCTCTTTAAAAAGATTTATTATGATGAGTGCCTTTTACATGCGCCTTAAACTATTTCATATTTGGAGCCATTTTTTCTAAAAATAGGTTTTCAAAAAAAAATTCGACATTTTTTCACCGGTTAATAACCGATTTTCACCGGAATTTCACCGGTTGGACATGTGATTCCAACCGGCCGGTTTCCGGCCGGACCGGACCGGTAGGATTTTTCAACCGGCCGGACCGGACCGGTAGGATTTTTCAACCGGCCGGACCGGACCGTTTTAATATTTCTCAACCGGTTCCACCCCTGATCAAATGTCCATATTTCAAGACAGTATTTTTTTTCTTATGATTATTATCAGTAACAAAAAAAAATAATTCATTTAATCAAAGTCTGACAGTGATATTCAAGATTTTCTCCGAGGAAAAGTTAATGTTAAGCTATCCTGTTATTTGTACTGTCTTTTTCAAGGCTATAATATGACAATGTTCTCCTTCATCTGTTGCTCAACCTTATGATTATTGTGACACATGTATTTAATTCTTGATATGGAGTTTTCACTAATACTGCCTTTTCAGGCATGTATATATGTATGTTTATCTTCATAAAACATCATTATTATGATAAACTCATATAACTATAGACGTAGAAACATAAATTTATTTGTTAGATGATTCAATTATAATTTCTTTTCTTTTTTTCAATTCTTTACAATCGTTTTACGAACGAAATGTGTTAATGTTGATTAAAAAACTCCTGTATGAAATAATTGAATATAAGGAAAAAAAAACTTATAACGCCAATGACATATACAAAATGAATTTCAAATGTAATAGATAAATTGCTTGAAAATGTCAGGGATTTTTCTTCTGCTTTTCTTCCTTTTTGATAGACAACATAAAAGAAAAAGTAATTAAGAGAAAATAATGAAAATATTGTCGGCATGGAAGATTCTGAAGTTGGCAAATTACAAAAGTTTTAATCAGACTTTTTATCTTGTCTCTACAATTATCTGTTTTTATTCAAAAAAAAAAATCTTCGTTACAAAAATATCATTCATTGGATTTGCCATTCTTGCTCTGCTTTGTGTCTTTTTAAATAATCGCTTGTCGATACGCCTCGTGGGTGTATTCGGGCACACACCTAGTTTTTTTTTCTATGCTGAGATGCGTGCATGTGTGCTGTTTTTTGCTCGTTCCTTTTTTTCAGTGCACGTAAAAAAACTTCGTCCTTTCAGCATCATTGTCGGCATTCTGAAGCATTTATAGGTAGTTATAGAGACGTAAATTAATCTCTACACGAACAAAAAAGTATAGAAGAAATTCGTATTGAAGTATAGAATTATATCAAAACAAAACCCTATCATTATCTCAATATATTAGCATAAATGGGGAACAACAATGGTACATATGAAGCATTACTAGAAGAAACTAAACAATTGCTTATGCAAAGAACTGGTAAGAAAATAATTGTTCATATTATATTTTGCTTAAGCATTTTTGATGATATTCATCTTGTTTTGATATTTGTAAATTGAGAGAAAAATTATTTTCATTTTATTTGATCTTTTTTTTTTTTACACTAAAAAAAATATCTGAAGAGTATGGTGTAATCGTGTACAAAGTATTTATATTATTTTATTTTGAATAAAAATTTAATAAATATTTAAATTGGATCACTTACAAAAGATTTACAAAAAAAAAATAGACTTTTTTTATCTGTGTGTGCTAAGCATCTTCTTCATCTCAAAATATGATTCATAGAGTTATGTCTAATTAAATACTTCTCAAATTTCATCAACGTGATTTTATGAAGATCAACGTAATATTACAATATGAAACAAATTCGTTTAGATTCAGTGCTTAAACGTTGCATTTGCACTTATAGACAATTAATTACATTCTATTTTCCAATTAGAAACTTGTTTAATCCTCTTGAAATTATTTTATTTAGGCATGTCACAATATGACCTAGAATTATGGTACAAAGCAATATTCGTATGGCATAAAAATTATTCTTGACTAAGGCTTTTTTTTTTCTTTTTTCTTTCGTTTAATAGGATCGATCAAAAAAAGGAAAATTATCTAAAGAACAAATGATTGCAATTTATAAAGATATGAGTGAACTTGATTCAGCACGTATTACCGAAGTTGTTGATTCATTAGAAAGAGTTTTTGATGAAGATCATAGTGGTACTGTTGGTAAGAATAATTTACATATATATTTCATATATATACATATATTCATATAAAATAGATATCAATGAATTTATGCGAGGTTTTATTTTAACAACAAAAGGTGATTTAGAATCAAAAATAGATTATACATTTCGAATCTATGACAAAAATGGTGATAATCAAATATCTGGTGATGAAATTAAAAAAATGGCAGATGTAATATTAAACTATCTTCAAGAGTCATCATATGAAATTATATTCTTTAATTTCTTTTTTTAATTTTAGGCTATTTTACGAATGTTAGGTAGTGATGAAAAACAAAATGATAATGCATCACATGCTATTGTTCAACAATTTCTGGGACAATTTACAGGTGGTGAAAAAGGAGTTATTTATAAACATGATTTCATTAGAACAGTTATGAACAATCAAGAACTTTTAGCACTTATTTCACCATTTTGCGGTATAGATTAGTAACCAATAAAAAAAATACACCTCTTCTTATTCTGTTGTATTTTTGCTTTTTTTCTTTTTACACTGCATCAAATAAAATAAGCAATTATCTATAATTTTTTTAATGTTGCCTCAATATTTATATACCTTTTATTTTTTTTTACATTAAAATTTTTCTAATTATTATTTTAGCTTGTTCACATCATTATCACCGTTATTGGTGAAATATCAACAGCATATATATATATATACAAATGAGATCTATGTCGTATAAAGTCAGATAATCGAAAACAATAATTTCTTTACGTTAAACTAATCATTTGAGTATTCTTTTGTTGTTGTTTTATCTTATTGTTTTTTGTGCACTTATATGATTAAATTATTTACTTTTTTCTCAATCTCATCTTTTATTTTTTTTTTGTGTGTGTTTTGAGATCAATTAGACATTAATGAATGAATAAAAAAAATTTTCAACAAAAGACGTTATATAGAGAGTCAATATCTGATCAAAACGAACGCGTGCGAATAAGCACATGCTTTCCTTTCTCAATTAAAATGAGATGAGGTGTTAAGGTTATTTTGAACGAATGAATTAATACATATTACGATGAAGCTCGTGTCAAATCCGTATCCGTTCTAGACAAGAAAAACTACTATGTTCAAACGGAAATCGATTGTATTGGAATTGAGAACAAGAACAGCACCTCATCTCTTAGAATAACAATATATATTTTATATATATGTTCATTAAGTTGTATAAGTCGATAAAGAAAAAGAAAAATGGCAACGTCAACAAGCGGAAATCAAAGTGTATCCTGTCGGATATGCCTCATGATTACGAATGATTATATGAAAAATTTAAAGAAGAATTTATTTTTTTTTAAGAATGTAAAGTAAATTTTACGAATGAATTGTTTCAATACGTAATCTTTTTAAGTAAAAAAAAAAGAGAAAAGGAAAGAGAAGAAAAGATTTCTTTCTTTTCTTTATCTTCGAGGTCAATAAAGATTATAAATCCAATCATAGTTTTACCAGCAGGAATATCAGAAAAATGATGTATGTACATTGAAAAAAAAAAGAATTCCGGAGATAGATCTGTAGGTGTTTCTTTTTTTCTTTTACTTTTTTTTAAACTTATTTTAGAAAGTCATTAGGACGATAGTCATCATTCGTTCATAATGCTTACATTTATTTGATGACCGCTGTGCGCGTCTTCATAAGAAATAGAAATAGAAGCTAACAAGACCGGATGCTCAGTGGCATGATTCAATTAAGCGTGTGCACATTATATTACATGGTAGTGGACACAGTTAGTCAGTCAGTCAGTCAGTCACGGTCCCTAATGGATGTGTATGTAATCGTTTTTCTAGAAGATGACAATCTTCTTCTTCTTCTTTTTGATGTGTATTAATCCAACAATGATTAAAGTTCTTCTTGTTTTTTTCGAACAAGTTCTTTCTTTTTGACATTTACTTAGAAAAATTATATATACATGAAGTTATGCTTTTCCCGCACGAGTGTGATCGTTTTTCTACTTTTCTTTTCTTTCGAATGAAGGTCGATCATCAACATTTATGCTTGTTAAAGGAACTTTTGAGTGTCGACTTTGTGCGTTTAAGCATGAATTATACGAAAGAACCGTTTAGAACATTTTCTTCCATCTCTCTCTCACACACACACTCTCTCTCCCTTTCTTGTCGTGCATGAAACAATAAACACAACGATGATTGTGTTTAGAACAGCAGCTTTCACCCGCCCGCCGGAACAAGAAGTTGTTCAGGTGCCCGAAGAAAAAAGAAGTTAGTAACAAGAACATCAACAGTAATAATTGTTACGAGACGACTACCACCCGTGTAGTTGCATCATTATTCCTAGAATCGTTCTCAGATGTGTGTATATATATATATATATATATGATTGTTGTATATTTGTGTATCACATTCTCTTTTCTAGTGTGTGTGTGCATGTCAACAAGGCAAGTATCATGACTAACTATTTCTATGCATTGATGCGCGTGTATATATGTTTAAGTGTGCAGAGGTTCCCTGAACCTTGAAGAAAGGTGAGATGCAGACAATGATCATCATTATTATCATCATTTTTCATTCTATTATATGAGTTATGTAATGCGATCATTGTCAAAAGAGAGAGAGAAATAGTAGGGAAAGGCTGATGATAATGGTGACTTCCGTCCGTCATTCTCCTATCAAATGCTCAATCAAATGCAACGTCTGAAGTATGATCGGAAATCGCACACATATATATACACACACGTACTTCTATAGTACCGTAATCTCAATGTGTAGATGAGTGTGTGTGTATGCAAGCACATAATAAAAATCTCTTCTCGATTCTTTTTTTTTTTTGACGACATTTTTATGATGTGATCTTCTTTCGTGATATGAAATAAAAAGGACAATCAATGTATAGTACAACACACATGTACTTCCCAAGAGATTTTTTTTAACTTTGATTGTACTAGTTCTAATCGTCATGGGATATCACATTAAAATCACTTTACAATCTCTTCTTTGTCTCTATCACATACAACATTATCTCATATGCATCATTAGCAATGGAAGAATGATTGTTGATGATGATGATTATATAAAAATTTTCTTTCATCATGTTGTTCTTCAACACCTCTCTTAGAATAATTTTTTTTTTTTTTTGAATAATTATACTCTTTTTTTTCCATTCGATTAAATCAGCCTGAAGTGTCATTCTTATGATTGACTCGTTCTATTCTACATTTCTATACAAACTAACTATGTATTAGAAAAATAAAATAAAGATGGTTTTATCTATTGTATAATTCGGGCTTTTTTCCTTTTCTCTCTCTCTCTCTCTCTCTCTCTCTATGTCTCTCTTGCATGCAGACAAATATAGGGCGTGGTGTCCAGCTACGGATGAGCAGGTGTGTATATGCATTAGCCATAAAGCTCAACCTCAGGCCGTTTTTTCTTCTCGTGAAATCAAAATCTGATATTATGACTTTGTATTGGTAACCACTAAAAGAACAAGAAGAAGGCATGAGTTCTCTCTTGTGACTTGTTTTATAAGCAAGAAAAAATGTCTTTTATTCTTTTCTCTTTCGTTCTGTTTTATATTGTAGACTAAACGCTCAAAGACTATTTGCTTGCATGTTCATATTGAGAAGAGTTTGATTCATGGCATGTTCATTAAAAATAAATTAGAAAATCACTAAATCATTCCTTTTTTTTTGTTACTTATACGACCAGTTGGTATCTCTCAAACAAAAAATATCAGAAGAAAAGAAGAAGAAGAAGAACACCAACAACAACGGCATTCTTCCGGTAGGTATTATCATTAGTGATTGTGTGCTCAATTAAGTTTTTTGTATATGTCTATGTAGATCTTTTGCTCTAAAAGTTTTTTCATAAATCAGAATATAGACTAGAACTACTAGTAAAACAAGAAATTAATCATTCATTCAATCGTGCTTCCTGAGAAAAGAAAGAGAAAAAGAAAACTTATTTACTCTTGATTCAGAGATTTGAATTGAATGCATCGTATACATACAGACATAAGTTCATCGATCTTGTTGTCACCATCCGCAGGGCTTTATTGACAATCTACACTATGGACAGCACTGATTGAAACAAAATAAAGAGAGAATAAACGATGAGTGAAAGAGAGAGAGAGGGAAAGAGCAAAACGGCATAGTAATCGACGATCTGGAAAAATCTCTTGACACTGCTTAGTGCTGTCCCTAATCCAAGGACGAATGATTTCTTTTGACGAGCACGCGTATAAGTGAGGTGTTCAAGTCAGTATGTGTTGTGTGAAATTGCATTAGATAAGCGTGCATGCTTTTACACGAGAGAATTTGTTTCATCTTGCTATCCATCCTACTGATTGTATCTTCCTTTCTCTTCTTTTTTTTTGGTGCCAATCTAAGTGAGTGAATAACTAAGTGAGTGACTTACTCATAGGAAATAGAATAGCAAAAGCAAAATAGGAGTGGTATTATGATGTTACTATCGATAAGTTGATGAAACAACGATGATTTCATCTACATGACAAGAAGGTTAATTAGGTTAAAAAGAAAGAATATATTCTATATGATCTTAATGGAGTGAGATTATTTCTTGTCAACACATTCTTTTAATGAGTAAGTGTGAAAATATATCACAATTTGTTTTTTTATTTAAATGAATAAACTTTCTATTATTAATATTTTCCTTTTTTTTGTTTTTCTTCTCGCTTTGGGTGGTTGTCAAATCGATACATCACTATATGAGCATCTGTTTAGACAAACTCAATATGCTATATCTGCACTGTTTGATGTTATGTTACGATCATTTTCTCTCTTTCTTTATGTGTATGTGTTACATATTCCAATTAGTATAGCAAAGAAAGTATATCATATCCTTTTTCTCCACTCTTCTTTTATATACAACTAAATTGATTAGCACAAATATATATATATATATACGTGTGTGTGTATGATTTATGTTGAAAAGTATTCTCATTTATTTTTTTTTCATCTTAACTAAACAATTAAATTGAAGAATAACATTGAATTAATGTTTTTTTTTCATCTTTTAGTTTTAGGTTATTGTGACTAAAGCTTAAGGCAACAATCATGACAAATTCTTATTACTTTATTATTTTATTTTTTCTTCCAAATGTTTTAACTTACGATTGTCGTGAAATATGTAATTTAACTGTATATGTATATGAAAATACATCAAATGATAATTTACAATGGAATTTAATTGATCTACTTTATAATCGTACATTGACAACATTTCCATATGAACATTATCAATATTCATTATCAAATCCATCAGATTATTTTGAAATTGATTCACCAATATTAAAATTTCGTTTAATAGAATTAGATCGTGAACAAATTTGTAATAAAAATTTTTTTAATGATAATGAATGTTCGTTACAATTACAAATTTTTACACAAGCATCTTTTTTTATTTTATTTAAATTAATTATATTAGATATAAATGATTGGAAACCATATTTTAAAGATGATCATATAAATATAAATATACGTGAAAATTTACCAATTAATTATCGTGTACAATTACCTATTGCACATGATCATGATTCAACACAATACAATATTGATTATTATAAATTTATAAATGATGATGATCATTTAATAAATGAATTATTTCAACTTGAAAAATTTCATGATGAACTTAGATTAAAATTATTAAAACAACTTGATTGTGAAAAAAGAAATAATTATCAATTACAAATTATTGCTGTTGATAAAGGAGGATTACAATCAAATGTTTTGTAAGTAAAATTTTATATGTTTTTTTTTTATGTTAAAATACACACTAATTTCTTTAGAACTATTTTTATATTATTAATAAAATCTAAGACTAGAAGCTTTAGAAAAATAATCTAAATCCTCAGCTTTATACTTATTAGGAAAGAATATTATCATTATAATTAGCTGACTAAGACTTGTTTACATATAGGTATGCACGAGAGATGGAATAGGTTCGGGTTTTGTTCTAGGAATCCAACGGAACCGATTTCGACTTGGTTCGACTTAGTTTGAGAAGAAAGCAATCTTATCTTGCATATGCATGAAGGAAATGATCTCATATTGAATTATTTTTCTTAATTTAACACAATCAATTAGTGAAAGGAGAAGATTTTTATGGTCTCTGATAAATTAACTATCCAATGACATTTCTCGCTCAACAAAGAAAAAAGGATCTTTTTCATAAACACTAAATCATCGAAATTTTTGTTAAACTTAACATAAACAATAAAAAAAAAACTCTCTTCTTTCATTTAGACATGTTAATATAACCATAGATGATTTAAATGAATTTCAACCACGTTTTAAACAACGTCTTTATCATACTCATATATCTGAAAATACTCCTATATCAAATACATCAATATTAAATGTAATTGCAACAGATGATGATTGTTATGATAAAATAATTCATTATTCAATTCTTCGTGATATGTCAAATGATATATTTCCATTTGAAATTGATAAATATACTGGTTTAATATATGTTATACATGAACTTGATTATGAAAAAATGTCTACATATCGTTTTCGTGTTAAAGCATCAAATCTTGATCAAGTAACATCAAGTATTGTACCTGTACTTATTGATATAATTGATATAAACGATCATGAACCTTTAATACAAATAAATATTCTTAATGAATATAAATCAATAAATTCTGATGAAGATAATGAAGAATTTATAATAAATATTAATGAAAATATACATTCCGGACAAGTTATTGGAACAATTATAATACGCGATAATGATTCTATTATGATTAATCGAAAATTATCATTAAAAATTCTTTCATGTTGGCCAACAAAAAATTCTTGTCCAATTGAATTAGATTCCGGATTAAGAAATGGTGATGAAAATGAAAAAAATTTTATTGGTTCAACTAATTATTTAATACGAACATCAAGACAATTGGACACTGAAATGGGTGATGGACAATATACAATTATTCTTGAAGCAAGTAAGTCAATTAAAAATGAAGAAATAAAAACAAAAATTTAATTTTTTATTAAAACTTTCTTGTTAAGGAGACTACGGTGATCCATCATTAAGTAGTCAGCGTCGTTTATTAATTATAATTCATGATAAAAATGATTGTATACCAAAATTTACTCAAGCAGATTATCAATTTCATTTATCTGAATCAACTCCAATTGGATCTTCTATTGGTCATATACAAGCAATTGATCATGATTTAACACCAGATTTTCGTCGTATACAATATAAACTTATTTATAATGAAAATAATCATATTATTGACATAAATCCTAATAATGGAAGTATATATTTAATTAAAAAATTATTAGCAGGAATGACATTTAATATAACAGTCATAGCTATAGATCAACATAATCATTCATTATATGATCAAACTAATGTACAAATTTCTTCGTATGATGAAGATACATGTTTGCCGACTTTTAGACAAACACTTTATATATTTAATACAACTGAACATCGATTAACACCATATGAAATTGGTAAAGATTTTTATTTATATATACAATAGAAATTAAATTATTTAGTTTTAAACTGAAATTTAAGAAGTTCTTCAATTGATTACTCAGTTTTGAGTCAACAGTATGTGCATCATGTAGATCATAATGAGTTATGACTCTATCCTGAAAAGAGTTTGTGCCTAGAGCGTACTACCACAAAGATACTGCATTTTTACGGTATTTTTTTAAATGAATGCCGTGGTCTCGTTCAGGAACACTAGAAAAATTGATTTTCGAATTTTAACTGGAAACTTTGCATAGAAACAAACCTTAATAAGGATAGTTGGATTGTGAAAGTATCAGACTATTTGATCTGTTCTTATTCTGAAAAAAAGAAAATCGAATTTGCTATTGTTTGTGAACGATGTAAAAGATGCTCTTTTATCATGGGTGCATTTTGGGATAGGAACAACGAAAATAATTATTTGAAAGTTTAACAATAAACTATTATCGTTAAGGCTTATTTCTATGTAAAGTTTTAAATCGAAGTTCAAATATGTTTTTCTGGTGTTCCTGAGAAGAGTTACAACCTTTACTTTAAAATAATCGTAAAAATGCAGTATCTCCACAATAATAAATTAAAGGCACGAAATTCTTTTTGAGACATTCATAATCCATTAGCATCTATATGATGCACCTAGTCCCAACTTAAAAGCGATTAATCAATTGGAGGACTTCCCTTATTAGATTATTATTCGAACATCGTAATAAAGACTGATTAGAAAAAGTATTTTATAGTGTTTATGAAATATATAAACCAGAATTTTTCTTTCCTCTTACATAGTATCAAAAAATTGCTAATTAATAGTTTTGTAACACTTTCTATCTACTGTATAACTCGGATTATGACATATACTGCCCCCTCCTGTTTGTTCATTTGTTGATCTTTTGGGGATAGTTAAATCGTTGTGATATTATTAGTCTTATGATAAGCTCTACAACTAAATGAAATTATCCTTGACAATACCATATGCCAAACTATAGGATGATTGTTTTGTAAATTTAACATTTAGTATTATGATTTTTTGTTTGTTGTTAATAAAAGGTCAAGTTTCTGCTGATAGTTGTCTATCGTTATCAATACCAATTTCTTATCATCTTGTAAAAGATAAAACATCAACATTACCATTTTTTATTGATACTCGTAATGGTGTTATAACAGTTACACGTGAATTAGATCGAGAAAAACAATCATTTTATAAATTTTCTATTGAATCATTTAATCATAAAACTCATCAAACAAGTCAAACAGATATTCAAATAAATGTTCTTGATGAAAATGATCATTATCCAATATTTGATAATTCAATAAATAATGCTCGTGAACAATATATTTATATAAATAAAACTTTATCTTCAAAATATTCTAATGAAAGAACTTCAACACTAAATAATATATTAATAGCACGTGTTCATGCAACAGATGAAGATGAAGGTTCAAATGGTCTTATTAATTATTATTTTACAAATAATGATAATTATGCATTTTTTCATTTATATTCAAATGGTTCAGTTGTACTTTATAATCAAAGAAATCTTCAATTACCATATCGTCTTGAAATTTATGCACGTGATCAAGGTAATCCAGCACCATTAAATTCTCGAGAAAGTATTCTCATATATGTATGTGATGCATTAAAACGTCATGAATGTCCATCAGATGAATCAATTGAAAGTCAACAATGGTTACTTAGTTATAATAATAAAAATCAAATAAAAACAGATCGTTTAACAACAAATTTTTATCTTGGTTCAATATTTATAATGATATCAATTCTTTTATTTATTGTAATTATTATAGTTTGTATTGTTTGGAATTTAATTCTAAAAGGACAATTAAAAGGTAAACATGATCAAATACATACTAATGGATTAAAATTATCAACTGAATCGTATAATTGTCGAGTGGAAGCAAGAAAAAATCTAAGTAAAAACAAAAAATTTGTTTGATTTTGTTTGTTTTTGGATTTTTTTTATTTGTCGAATTTCATTTTTTTTTTTTGCTCTAGTTGTGTCCGATAGTCTTTGTGAATCATCACCAACAATGACATCAATTGATGGAAATCATCGTTTGAAATCTGTAGCCGTATGAATATAATTATAATAGAAATTATTTGATTATACCCGGTGGTATTGAAGGAAAAAAAAAGAAAGAAAAATTTTGTTTATCTCAAATATACTAGGTGCTGAATTAATGCATGATCATGACTGGCAAGATTCTATAGGTATTTTATCTTTTTCTTTTATGCTTGGTGTACAGTCTTGTCAAACAGTGTGTGCTGTGTTTGATTTCAATTTTGTTTTGTTTTTCTTTTTCGAATAAAAATTTTTGTTATTTCGTAGTGAAGTGGTTTAAAAGAAATTTTTTAATAATGATTGTAAATCAAAATATCACTACAAATAAATAATCGTGTATCTAAGATTTTGTGTTTGAAGAAAAAGATATCATTTCTATTTATCATATCAGACGGCCAGAGGTTTCTTTATCAGTTTTCATTTTTGAATATTTCTTGTCATTCATTGGTGCATATGACTCTGATTAACACTGTCTCACGACATTTGCTCGTACGCATATTTATATATCGAAGAAAATTTAATCTATGACCTGCATAGTTTATCTAAAACTTCTACGAGATGCTTTTTTTATTATAGTAGTCTCATTATTTGAATTGTAATTTATATAAATTAATCATCGGTTTATAATTGTTCCTTGTTTAAATCTAATTTTCATACTGCGATATTGTATAAAGAAATATTTTTTATACAGCGCAATAAATCGATTTTACGTACAGTTTTAATAAAATGTGTTTCAATGTTATAAAAAAATCTCATGGCATTGAAAGTCATGCGATATTTTAATTACCAATAAAAAAAAGAAATCTCATGATTGATGATTAATAAAATGTACTTTTTTTTCAAGGACACACGACTCTTCTTTATCATTTTATCATGCGGAGTACAGCAATCTTTTTCTTGAGAAAATATAAGCGTATTTTAAATGCGCAGTTTCTTTTTAATCTATTGTAATGATTCAAAATAGAAAAGCAACAAAACGAATCCATCAAAACAGCCGTTTATTCTCACAACCCACACTATATCAGTCGTTGAAAACATATATGGTTACTCATGTCGACCGTATATATAGCACGTAAATTTTCGATAGAATGACAGTAAACTGTTCTATAACGACGTTATTCTGTTTGGTAACGATCAGCAACGATGGTATTTTACAAAATGGTTCAATTGATAGATGCCGGAGAAAAATATGGCGAAGGAAATCAAATGTTGATAGCAGCTGAACCCATCGCTGCCGGCGAAAAAATTTGGTGGTGTACGTGTGGTGATGATGATTATATGATGTCAAGAGATGAAATACTTCATTTAATTGAGACACAACCTCATTTGAAAAATTTTCTCTGTTGGTATTCATATATGGTAATTGACTATAAATACATGATAGTCTATTTTGGTTTTTTTTAAATAATTTTTAGGCTGAGGATGATATGTATATGATTCCACGTACCTTTGATACTCAAAAAAATAATGATGAATGTATTTTATTTAACCATTCATGTGAACCAAATTGTGGTTTTGATTCTGGTGATGGAAATACAATTGTTGCCATTCGGCCAATTGCTATCGGTGAAGAATTAACATATGATTATCACTTTCTTGAAACCGAAGCATCATTAATTCGTGGACTTGAATGTAAATGTCAAGCACCAACATGTGTTGGTCACATTACGTTTGATCGTTACCGTGATGAAGAATTTCAAAAACGTTATTATCAATATATGTCACCATATTTACAATCACGTGTACGTGAATTAACAACAAAATGGTATTCAACAAAATGTTTTACACGTTCAGCAACACCAAATAAAACAAAATCATTACATGCTCTCGAATGGATTCAAGCTGGTGAAGTTGTAGCAAAATTTTCAGGTTCAGTTAGTGCTGAAAATCATTTTATTCGTGCAGTAAATGAAGATGAAGCTACATGTGCAATTGATGAACATAAACAAGTCATTGCTTTATGTGATTTGACACCTGAAACTGAAATAACATTGTATTATCATGGAAAGTTGTAAGTTATTATTTCAAATTTAATAAAATGAATAGATTAATATTTTATCTCTTCGTCTTGTTTTTTTATTTAGGTTGTAATAAAGGTTGGGTGTGTGTGTATATCACTTATTCGTTCGGTTTTTATTCAATTCGTACTATATATACTCGGCGACATAGTTTATGTCTAATGAATCCGATTCGGTGGCGGTGGTTTTGTGCATAAAAAGAATTTATTCAAAATTTTTCAATTTAATTATCTGGTCTTGATAATCAAGAGAACAGTCCAGATTTTAAATATTTTCTTTTGTTTTTTTGGTGGTTGCTTTAATAAAAATACAAAATGAATTATTGAATGTAGGTTGAAAAGCAAAATAATAGATAACCTTTAAGATAAAGACGAATTGGTTCGCATCAGTTTTCTCAAGTCAAAATATTTGGTTAGATATACACATACGAGAAACCGAACAGACGGTCTTTACTAAATTTATCTTTGAATATTTGTACTTGAATTAAAACTTGATTGATCACGATTACTATCAAAAAAGAAAAAATTTCGATAAAACTTATTCATTAAGAAAAAAAAATTAATTTTCATACGTTGAAATAAATTACGATTATTTGGAGACAATCAGCAAAAACGGGACATAACCACTTTCGACTAATTTTTATAAGGATAGTTTTCTTGAATAAATTCTTTTCCTATGAATATATATACGAATATTAGCTCTTTCTACTCACACCTAATTAAACTTAACGTAATTAACGAAGGACTCTCTAACCTTATGACTAAAGAGTGTAAGAATTTCAAGATAGATTCCACGTCATAAACTATATCTAATGGTGAAATTTTCAACGAGTTCGCATTATAAAAAAATTGCCTCCACAAAACCAATTTTTCAGAGATCTGTTCATACTCGAGAATAAAACTTTTTGTTTTACTATCATTTCGAGATCTGAACAAGGATTGATACTATTCAGAATTGATTTTTGAATTTTTCATTCAGTTACAAGAAGATTTTTTGGTTCTATATTGGTAGTCATTCACGTCATTAATAACGAATAAACTCAAGTTTTTCAATAACCTAAGTATGTTCAGAAAACGTTTTTTGTGTGGAGACTTTGTAGCCTCAAGAGTTCTGTACCCAATGCCCTATTTCGTTTTAAAAAATACTGTTTGAACTTGCAGGATTTATAAATGCGTACATACGCAATTCAACCTTTAGTTCTTTTTCTTTTTGTACTACGCCACTAACGCTACTTTTTCAATAATAACTCCGCCGAACAAAGGTCTATAGGGCTGAATTTTTCAACTTATTTAAAGTAACTTAACATATATCTATTATATAAAAATTTGCTAAAAAAATTATTTCAAAGTCTTGAGATAGACGCATATGTATTTTACAAAATTACGTTGTTAACGAATAAAATTGCCGATACAGTATTCATCAATGATATACAACAATTTTTTTAATGATAAAAACAACGATCTAGTTATTTCAACGTTGTTTCTTTTTTTTAACGACGATTTTAGAAAGAGAGACAAATTGTAAATATATTTTTATATATTGAAACCATTACATTAAAGAGTAAAGTCTCTGTCTGCGACATCCAATAATAGTTTTATGATTGTTTTTTGATGAGCGTAGAGAAGGTTTTTTTCCAGTTTTAAGCACTGATTCGGATGCATTAGGGCATCTCGGTACAAATATGAAAGGATTACAATGCATCGAAAAACAATACGTTAGATTGTAATACGAGTATTCTATTTCATGATGATTAGAATATTTCGTTTGATTTACGCGTATGAAATCTTCCACGAGCGAACTATTTGGAAATGATAAAAGAAATTGCAAAGTAATGTTTATGATGAATTAGAAAAAGAAAAACAAAAGACTGATACTCAAAGTATGATTTAATAATTTACATATTCTTTGGAAAAACTATGAATAATTCGATTTTGTTGCATTATGAATTTCTCTTTTTCTTCGAGTCTGTTTCAGTTAAGGGAAAAAGAGCGTGCAAATAAAAGAAAATTTATTCATTTTCGACTACAACATTTGAAAGAATAAAGAATGTAATACAGAACGCATATACAGTAGTGGACAAAAGTCTCCTACTCTCTCACTCGTTTCTCACCCACAAAAAAATCATGCAGAAATACTTTTTCAAGAAGTAACATTCATTACATCAGATCATTCACACCAGAGCAAATCAAACACATAACAGAAATAAATCCTTCATCCATTTCTATCCCTAATAAGTAGAAGTCAAAAATGAAACATAGTACATCGAGTAGTGATTGATAGATATACATTGATATTCTTTTGTTCCATTTGTACCTGCTGAAGCGTTTCTTCATGATAAATGAAATGTAATAGATATATGTTTATATTTTTTTTTCCATTTCTCCTTGATATGTATGACTTTATGTGAATGAACCATTTCTGCATAAACAAGAACAATTTCTCCATTAATTTGTTCAATTGTCTACTGCTGACATGCACTAGCTCGAAAATTTTATGTGTACATACTTCACAAAGCATTTCGGTCTAACATACGAACTTAACTCGATTTTCTTAGATGAAACGAGAATTATGATGGATGGTAATGGATCGTATCTATTTATCTTTTTAATTTCATAACTCTGAAAAAGAAGAAGTTTGTGGATCGGTCCATTCTTTATTATTTAGTAGTTTGTTTGAGTTATCTGCCGTATTGATTTCATCGAAGTTCATCAATCCTCCCTAGAATTGTAGCCATTTTTTCATGACCATTCACAGATGAAAGAAAAACTATCTTCTGACCATTGAAGATCATAACTGAATAATAGTTCAGTGAATCGAGCTGAAACTTGTACATAAGCTATGTCTGTAGTTAAAGTTTCATGAGAGAACCTTCCACCAAATGAAAATACCATCTGAATAATCATCGTGTTGGTACAGAGGATTCAAAGGCATGCAGAAACAGCAATCCTTGATTAAATTACCTGATCTTTTAACTTAAAAAAAAGAGAATATAAACTGGACTCTACTTGCATGATAAAATATCAAGAATTAGTCATATATTTGATCACAGATAACGAAAAATTTAGTAGACAATCTTTTTCAGATCACAAGCTTGAAGCAAAAATAGACGTCCTTCATCATAATTCTCATTGTATTTAAGCAGTCCAAGCGATCTCGTGCTTCTGAACTAAATTCTTAGTGTAGTATTTCAGATTTACAGCATATATAGCAGCCAGAGTATGGTTGGTGGGAGACTTTTGTCCACTGCTGAAACACATACTTATCATTGGTATAATTATCCAAAAAATGGCAACAAAAAAAGCCATAGATAATGAATGTTATATCAACTAATATCGGCGCTAGAAGTCAGTGTACTCGGATAGTTTTTGAATAACTTTCGA